ACTAAGAAAGACAAAATTGTTGGCGTTTAAAATAATAAATGTAAAATAAATTAAATTGATGAAAGAAATAAACACTTTGTTGTATACATCTTCGTACATATCACTTAAGCTCACTGAATATATATATATGCATTGAGTTCTCTAATAGTTTGGTGTACATTTTTCATTACTTCCTGTTTTACTACTACCAATGTTTTCTTTCAAAGAAAACAAAATAAACTTTTAATGTACAAGATAATTTTCAGACATTTAAACAATAATACTTTAAATACAAAGGTTGATCAGTTATTGTTGTGTTATAATTTGTGCCTTCATGCCATATTCATATATAATGTCATGATACCTCCAATTAGAGAATAGTGGTTTATAAACCGGACCAATGACACATAATACCCGTACGAACAGTCTAGAGTCTTTATCGGTCCTTCTTCCTCCCTAGCCTTGTCTGTTGATTCCAGAATACCAATCTCAGCCTCTGCGATATGAATAATGTATTTCAAACATACTGCGTTTATATACAAACCAAACAGACCATATCGTACCATAAAATGGAAAATAACATTTGTACAATATCTAGCCAAAAGTTACTGTGAATGTAGGGGATTGTAAATTTCCTGACTTTATCCTCCCCTATGAAATAGTGTTGGATCCTCAATTCCCTAAGTCACAATTAATGTGACTCTATTTAAAACATATTTCCTGTATTGAATAGAGAATTCACTAATAAAATCAGTATCTATCGAAATTGAATTAAATTCTTGATCACCATTTGATGCATCGGACATATTTTTTTCACTTTTGTAAGAAATTTCATCAAGAACATATGATTCATTAAGATAACCCATATCTGGTAAAACAACTAGAAAATTCCGATAAGTAGACTTGTGAGAATGCTTTGTCGTAGAATTATGTGCTCCATTTAGTGCAACTGTATTTATTATGTATGTATTCATTATTTTGTTTCTTCGTGGTCGGGTATTGCAAAAATTTCATGCTCATTTAAGAAGACACCGTCTTTCTGTGAGCTAAACAAGTCAAAGCTTGTACATTGTGTTTCGGGGATAATGGGATTCGAACCTACTACATGGCAAGTTTCTGAAATAGACATTACTGGACCACTGGGTGGGTCATGTACAACTGCTACTGTTTCGTTGAGATTACTGCTTTTCAAAGATTCATGTAGGCTTTCACTGACACATTCATTCATTCTGCAACCACTTTCCAGCTCTGTATGCAATTTAAAAATTAATTCATTAACTTACGTCACATCTCTGAAGCATTGGTGATTCAGCAGCCTTGTGCGTAATTTGTCTATAATTCTCGTCAGGATATAACAAATGATAAACGTGTTAGACTTTTGTTGGTCGACGATATTCATATATTTTTTTAATGTTAGTTTACAGCATATGGCAGTAATGTTTCAAATCCATAGGAAAAGCAGGTAACTGTCTTATTGTTACTTAACCTTCTCTGACCCAAACATTATCTGTTTCTGATCGAATCCAAGTGATTTGTTGTTGATTAGGCTTTAGTGAATGATAAATCTTTCTTCTTCTTAACATCAGAGTACGTATAAACTTCAGCGTAAGCTTATTTACAATCAGCGATCTATATCCTACTAATCTGAGAATTTCAATTCTAGTACTTTTTGAGTATTATTCACTTGATTCTCAATATGGTTTAACCTTTTAGCGACAGGCCAGATGTGTCATAATTTGCTGAAGTCAGGGTGATTAAATGTCCTAACTTCAGTTGTAGGTGACAATTACAGGCATGGCAGGTCAGTGGTGTGAGTTCAAACAACCAGGGTCAATGCTAAATATATTTTGTTGGTTCAGACACATCTAAATATGCTTTGATTGTGCGCAAATAATTCGGTTTGTCACTAATGCTTGCTAGTCATTCTTAATATTCTTACCTGAACACCGGTCGGTCCGAAGGCTTAGTGACTATAAACTTTTAAAAAATTGAACTGACATCATGGACACTAAGAAGTATTATGTTGCGAAACTGCTAAAGTTTACACTGCAGTAATACTATATTTTAACCTTTAATGTTAACACTTCAACATCTTTCACAATATTCACCCTTAAATTCTCCGTATTCGCCTCAAAATAAACGAATTTTCCAAAAAAAAAATTTGATTGAGGTAATGCCTGTCACCGCGGAAGACAGGAAATGTTTGATTACGATACCGTAATCTAATACATAAGTATGCTTCCATTTACAAAGGTAAATGAAAATTCATGATTTTCACTATGGCTAAAAACACGCATTTGTATATTGTAAACTTACACTATGATCACGTTAAGAAGTACATACATTTCTGTATTTCGATGACGATGTAATAATTTTTATTTAGTTTCACTGATTCTCTACTTACAAGAAATGATTCATTGTCAAATACTTCACGTAAAAAATGAATGTAAATCAGTAGTCAGTTAATAAAGGGTGGGCCTTTCTATTTCATGATTTATTCAATCAAACAGATTGTTATTAATTTGCCTAAAGATGTTACTTTTATGTGCATCGGAATACCAGTTTGAGGGTTTGAAATTGCAAAAAATGCTTTTTTTAACTGGATATTTTGCAACCTTAAACCAGAAAATCCATAGGAAACAGAAAAACCCTGTCCAACAGGCTACAAAAGATTTCAAGTATCCAGAATAATATTTGCGATAACGTATACATGATTAAATCATATATTTTAAGCTTATAAATCTACATGTGCATGAACATATGATCTATTTTGAAGGCAACTGCAAATGTGCTAAAGTAACTTCAGTCATTTTTTTCAGGGACTTGGCAATTCAGCTTCTGTACAGTAAAGCAGGTGACGGGTTTAATTTAAAAACAACCTCTAAATACTCAAATAGAAATCGTCAAAGTTTGTGAAATCTGTAGCCATTAGAAAATCTAACCGTTCTTTGTGTTTAAAAAAATGTTTGTCCTAACTTTCAACCACACCTAGAAATTCCTAATCTAATAGTAACTTTATTCCATATACTCTTAAACTTACATTTCTAAAAGTTATGCAATTTGGAATCTTGTTTGTATGCCTCAGTACCAATTATGGATTTTCTACATACTTTCTTCTCGCTTACTCCAAATTTAGCCTATCACTGCATTATACTTGAAATAAATTTTCCTATTAAGTCAATATACCTATGACGAGTTTATCCAACGTAGAATTCTCACACGACAACTGAGTAGTTCACATAGAATTAAATAAGATCACCTACCTAACCTTTGATGAGGACCTAAGCTTTTCATATAATATATGCATTACAGTTACCAAAATGAATGATAAAATACAATTTTCTGCATGTTTCACCAATTGTGTTAGCCCTGATAAAGAGGTCACAAAGAAATTGAGAAAGCATTTTCAATTTGAAGTTCAGTTCTACTTTGCTTTAATGTTGCAGTTAAAATACTTTATAAATCGAATAAACTGCAAATACTGATCGAGTGTTATTGATATTCACAACAAAACTTTAGGTCTGTGGATACAGCAACTGAAGTAATTAAGGGGAATATTACAAGACATACACACTTCACATAAAACTATACTGATACAGATTTCGACAAACTTAAGAATTCAGTCAAAGATACTACTATCCAAGTTGGTTCACAATGTAGGAAAAAAGAATCCAGTAAACACTAGTTAGTACGTTTTCAGGCAAATAACTTAAAAGATGGAAGGTGGGAGCACTATGGTGGAGGCATAGTATTACAAGTTGTCAGACAAGTAAACAATTGGCTATAATCAGTGAAGAGTTCTTTGGATGGCAAATAATCAGCGATTTTTGAATAGCCATAGCGTGTTCTTTTTTAGATTTTTTTCAAAAAAGACCCATTAATCCATGTTTTAAAAAAAGTATATTTTTAACAAACCCATCTGCCTTGCAATAATCTCATTAACAAAGCAGAAAATAATTAATATGAAAGTGAATGCATAAAACCAGCAAAGTAAGCGAAGAATATTTTAAGAAAACCGATATTACTGAAATATCATTAACGTGTGACCGAAGTAAATGTTAAAAATACACCAATTCTTTACAATGGTTGATTCTTTATTCTGCATAAAACGAGAAATGTTTGTTTTAAAAGGTGATAAATAATCATAAAGTATATATAAAAAACCTTCACTCAAAAAAACCCTAAGTTGATTTAACAGACTTATAAAATAAACAACACATTCATGCATACGCTCCACATTTTGTAAGCAAAAATATAATCACAGTCATCGCTTAAATCATTTACAAGTACAAGTGGTTGACTACTAAATAATTTAAACGTGTGTAACTAGGCCAACAAAAAAAGCACATTTTGAAGCTTGATGAAAGACAGAATAACCGGCAAACTCCCAGAGAATTTAAGAAACGTCAGTTAAAAAACGTAATCAAGATAAAATAAGATATCTGACGGCGCAGACAAAATCAATAGCGAAAGGAATAACCAAAGATGAACCGGTAGGGTTAGATTCAGAACCAGTTATATGAAATAGAATAAATCAGTAGTACGAATTAGAGTACATAGTTAAAGAAATAAATAATTAGGGCTGAGAATGCTCCTTTGAAATAATTTTGAATATAATTCACCTAGAAATCGAATATTTTACAAAACTCCAATAAACCTCTATACTACTATACTAAAAAGTAGTATAAGTAAGGGAACTTTATTAAATAGACAAATACTATACAAAAGACAACGAAAAACGACAAGGATCATAATGATTAATTTCATAGAATAAACTGGAGTGGAGATGGTATTAAAGAGATTGAATACAACTATGTACAGTAATGAAAGTGGAAAGTGAAGGAGAATTATCCGGAAGGGTTATTGATTTAGACAATATGGAATAATGAGAAATTAACTGGAAATAATAATGATAATTCACGAACAAATAAGGAAGGAAGTGAAAAACAAAAGGGAACGGAGCTACAAAAAATCAAAAGATGCCTTTTCGACATGGACTGACAACTACAATGCATACGTGTTTAAATATCTTTAACAGATACTAAATTCATGCGTTCAGATGAACAGTTATATTTACCACAATGATTGGTATTATCATGGTGATGATGATGTGTTAATCCATTCATTAAAACATTCGAATTGATAAATGATTTAGGATAATGTCCAATAACAGATAAATGTAAACCCATAGCTTGAGTATGATATTCATATTCTTCTTTTTCAATTTGTATAGTTAGATGAGATACAGATGTGAAATGATTTTGAATTAATTCTTTAATCTATTACACGAATGAAAAAGAATAAAGTAGGTAAAATTTTGTTTAGTAAGCTAAATGCTAATAAAACATAATTATTAATGAACAAAAAACAAGTTACTATTGCAACTAATGTTAGATCCTAAGTTATGTGACTTTAAGAAAACGGTTAATAAAAAATTGGACGTTGAAATCCAATTTGAAAATACGTTATACCCAAACAGCAGAACTAGTAACTTCATCAAAAGATGATGTCGAAAGATTTAAATCAACACTAATAGACTGTTGCCTTAGACACCTAAACAATTAATACAGTTTGAAAGGAATTTTGACGAAAAAATATAAAGAAGCTTTAAGCAAATAGATGATAATTTTTTAATTAAGAAACCAGACAAAGGTTATGGTGTAGTACTCATGGATGAAAACGACCGTTTAAACAGGATGAAAGCCGTTTTAAGTGATAGGAGTAAAGAATGATGTGACAGACAGAATTTAAAAACAACTATGAAAATCATTGAAACATTAAAAAAGATTTTATTTCAGAAAACATGTTCGAAATTGTTATAACGTGAAAAATAAATGCTGCTGATTGAGGGTAGCGAATTATTGATCGGACCAAAGACGCACAAACACGTAGAACGACCTAGGGTTCTGATTGGTCTCACTTCCCTGTCTAACCCAGCCAGTTGAGTCCAGAACGAAAGTCTCAGCCTCGGATATATGAATCATTATATTTCAAACATACTTTGTTTATATACCAGTCAAGCAGACCACAACGTACCATAAAATAGAAAATAACATTGTACAATAATGGCCAGTAGGAAAATAACACGTTAACTAAATATTGACCAATAAGATGATACCATTTCATGTCCAAGGATAGCATTAGGCTTAACAGGATAATTTTTGGGATATTTTCCTGAATATCCCAACAGAAATGTTAGACCTACGGGAATGAAATTCACTCACAAATACATAAATAGGATGAAAAGAGAACTAAATATATCTACTATTATTTATTTATTTTAACACATAGATATTGCTACAATTAGGCACCAAATACATATGCGTCACACAAATCTCATTTGATATGTGTGAGGGCTGTGACACTGCCCGGGTGACAAAACCGAATCAGGTGCTTTTCTTACGGGGCCACATCCACAGCCTTCGACCTGAACGTCTGATCCAAAAGGCAGTGGAGCAACGTAAAGAGATGCAGTCCAATGGTAGCCGGTGACCAACGATTGGTTCATATGCCATTTGTTCCTTTAGGATACTGGAGACCATGTACACCATTGGTTTGGAATCAGGGTTTTCCAACTCCCCTAGGTGGACTCTCCATGTCCACCAACCCGGTTAAAGCACTAGATATTCGGTTGTTGTCCTCTCAATTTGGTAAACAACACTCCAGCCACGAGAAGGCAGTGAGTAGGAATTCCCTGGCAGAGTCTATATACGCGTGGCCATGTGAGAGCATCTCGAGAGGGAGAGTGGACTCTCCCCACTCTCGGTCGTACTAGGGTATTTGGGGGCTCTACTATTCCAGAGGAAGTATTGGTGTTAAAATTACTATTTCTAAATGATGCTACTGAAGAAATTGTAACTCAAAAGAAAGACGGTGCAGAAAACATTTACTGCAGCCAAACTGAATATGGTTTTCTACAGCCGCCCGATAATAAAAACCATCAATTAAGATAAACTGCCTTAACTCGCCACATCCATGTGTATTCGCCATTTCTACTACTGTAGAGCCAGTTATATAGAAAGTACAATTCGGCAAATCCCTCACTGCATAGCACATGGTTTACGAGTTCGTCTGTTGCTTTTTGCTGAAGCTATCGGGATCCGTGTTCATAAACAATTTTGTGGCCCTTATATCTGGCTCCGGGTAGATCGTGTAAATGATTGTTATTGAAATACTCAGGTCGGCTATCCTCGTATATAATTATCGACTTAATCCGCATTAGCCAATAACGGAATTAAATAAGTCAAATACGAGAATGAATTTCGAATACGTATATTTCATACAATCGTTCATCCAGACAAACGAGCGGAGAAACGAAGCGAAATGACACACAGTGGAGAAAGAGTGTGATCCAACTCGATTTAATCAAGAGTTAATCGATGTTTAAAGTCAGATAAAAATAAGTTACAGGCATGTGATGAATAGGATAAGCAATGAACACACATACGCTCATATAAAAAACAGTTAAGGTTGATAAGTGAAAAATTAACAAGGTCGAAAATGTGACTCAAGAAGAATGAATAAATTGGTGTGACCAGAAGCTAAAATAAGTGTGTGAGCTTAACGTAGTAATCGACACTACAACCTAACCTTTGCATCCAAAAGAAGTGTTTACAACTACTAACATGGCCATCGGTATAGAAGTGAGGTTCTAGCTGAAGTTTGGTTAAACACCCTCTTTCAAAAATATTTAAACAATTCCGGTCTACTTGGGAATCGTTGGTATCTGTAATCTTGAGTAGAATGATGTTACCTATGATATCCAGAACGCTATCAAGGATGCTACCAACGATCTATTTACGCTGGCAGGAATCTTTTGTTGCACTTAGATGTTGACACTAGTAGATCAATAAAAGATTATGAATATTCTTTAGTCTTTGGTGTAGAAATCGTTCAATAGAAAAAAATTTCATAACCAACATAACTTATAAAGTCGTCAAGCATTTAGCCTTATCATTGCTTTTTAAGCAAGTATTTTTATTTTTGTTTGGGCATCACCTTTAGTTCCAGTTTGAAGAAAAGAGGAAAAGGTGTTTTGTAGCACTTTTTCGCGATTAGGATATACCTTCCATTCGAACTAACTTTTTGATTACGCCTATCTGATATGGTTAACGCTATAATCAAAATCACTAAGTGGTTTGTATGGGTTATTACACATGAGAAATTTATCAATGTTCGAGAAATTTTCGGGCTCTCATTTGAAATATTCCTAGTAATACTTATATCCCATTAAAAACGGTTGAACCGAATGAGTCACATTTGCAAGACCATAACTATAGAGAATAGTTGACAAAAATATGAAAATACTACAGAACGTATCTGCTATTTAAATACGTAAGCAGCACTGCAAACAAAACTATAACTACAACTTTCAAATCACAAGAAATATTAATTCTAAGTAAATAAAAGCATCGGAAACTACCTTTCGTAATAATACTTGTTCTGAGGCACTAGACTGAATTCGAACCGTTACACAAACACATACAGATTTATGCATATGAGTCCAAATAAATGGATTTGAAACAGAAACAACTTCATCCACTTGTAATATCTGAAAAAGTTGATTAAAACAATAAAACATATGAGCAACCAAATTAGTGAATGCATCTAAACCATTGTGAATGATCCTAAGTGATGTAGCTCAAAATCTATGACCGACTATCGTGGTAAGCACGCGGAATCCAACCAAGTAATCTGTATTTATCAGCACGCCTCAGACCAACAGTTAATGACCTCACAGACTGAAGCCATGTTTGGGTTTAGCCAACCTCTACTTTTTTCTAACCTACTACCACACCGTACAACATCGTGAGTCAAGGTATGCGGCGATTAGATGTTAGTAACATATGTTCTAATCACCTCAATCGATGAAGGTTCATTACTTTAACTTTCCTATGCCTAAATAAATATACAACAAATAAAAATTAGTTGTTCATTACAATTCTTATGATAACCTGTTACAATTTGATGAAAAAGTGATTTAGTTCATTTTCGTTCAACTCATTCCACTAAAAAAGGTGGGGGAAAATGTGATAATTAAGCGTCCGATTGTTATTGAAACTAATATTTTGGACATTATTAGTCAACATGATTTCTCTGCGATTGTCATGAAAGAACTTTTGTCCTTTCTTGCAAAATTGATGCCATGAGGGATTGAGACCAGTCAGATGGAATTACGTCCAGTCATCAGATCCTAGCTAAGATCTCAGTCAAGCTAACTGTTAAAACTAAACCACCATTCTTAGAGATTTTCAGGGCTCACACATCTGGAACCATTGTTTTCTCTCACTCCAAATTACATATAACCGTTTCAAACTAACAGTCGGAAAACTTATGCAAATTTGCCATTTAGGTTGTTGAAAGGTGGATGATTAGAGGGTAACCTAAGACCGGTAGAGTCAGTCAGTAACAACATAGAACTTCGTACGTACGTACATCAGTTCCAGTTGCCACACCACATTAGCACAGAGATGCAGTGGTCGATTCAAATCCCGTAGTAGTAGAGGTAGTAAGAGTATAAGCAGTAATCGGGAAGATAAGTGTTTGGAGATGTTACTTAAAGAGTATAATACAGTGAAATAAATTTGAGAGGAGAAAAAAAAGAGACAAGGAGAAATAAGAAGATCAAAATTTGGGAGAACACAAAGAGTGGATGCACCCGCGCTATTGCAAACGATTTTGAGCCATGTCATTCAGGGTCTCTAACCATCGGTTGCTATCATCTCGCGGTCCCCAACCAGGTAGTCTACACCTACAAACATCACTCAGTCTACTTGTCAGTGACTTCATGGACTTGTGCCATGTTTTGGTCTGGCCGCCCCTAGCTTTCTTCCAACCTACTCCTATACCACTGAACATCGCACGTCGAGGTAGTCGGTCGTTGGGCATACGTAACATATGTCCAAGCCATCTCAACTGAAGAAGTTTCACTGCTTCATCAATTGATTTGCCATCCTTACCTAGTACCCGTTTCCTAACAACTGTGTTACTTACTCGATGGTCCCACGATATACGAGCAATATTTCGAAGACAACTATGATCAAATACTAGTAACCTACGAATATCCTCTACTCTTACCGACCATGTTTCACTGCCATAAAATAGGACGGAACGAACTGCTGCGCAGTAAACCCGTCCTTTGGTTGATAGACGGATATCTTGCCTACGCCATAAATGACGCAAGTTAACAAAAGCTAGTCGAGCCTTCTGTATCCGTGCTGAGATTTCGTCACACACCAGACCATAAGGGATGATGAGACTTCCAAGATAAGTGAAGCGATCGACACGCTCAATTACTTCACTCCCTATCATTAGTTCGAGTGCCGATGTAACCCAATCCTGAAGCAACATTTTGCATTTCGAGGGGGAGAATCGCATGCCGAACGTGCTTGCATTGTTGCTTAGAGTGGTCAGAAGACTCTGCGTTTTGTCAGTGTCTTCGCCAAATAAAACTATGTCATCGGCATACTCTAAGTCAACAAGTGAATCTCCTGGTAGAAGTCCATCCCCTGGAAATCTAGATGAGGAAAGTATCATCTCTAAAAGCACGTCAATGACAAAGTGAAACAAGAATGGAGAGAATGGACAGCCCTGACGAACACCACTTGAGGTAATCAATTCTGATGACAGTTCGCCATAAGCTCTCACCCTACCAGTTGTGTTCGAGTAGAGAGCCTTTATAAGGTTAATGTAATTCTTTGGTACTCCTTTCAGTAATAAACACTGCCACAGAACCTCACGATGTAAACAGAGTTAAATGCCGCCTTAAGGTCGAGAAATACTACTATTGTGGGGCGTCTGAATGTGTGTCTATGTTTTAGAACCTGACGTAGTGTGAATATCTGATCAATTTTGGTGGAGTTTTGGTAGTGGAGCTTTCACTCCACCAAAATCATCCACCTGAGCTACAAATCTTCTCCATCATATCTGATCTATACAACCACGTCCAGGTCGAAAACCAGCCTGATTTTCTCTAGTCTGCTCTTCACGAGCTTTAGTTAGGCGTCGAAGTATTATTGAAGCTAATATTTCAGGCACTATATTAGTCGAACTGATTCCTCTGTGATTGTCACAAGAGGACTTTTGTCCTTTCTTAAAAACTGGCACAATCAGTGGTTGAGACCAGTCAGATGGTATTACGTCCAGTTCCCAAATTCTACCTAAGACCTCAGTTAATCTCACTGCTAATACTGAACCACCATCCTTAAAAATCTCAGGAGTAAACCTGTCAGGGCCTGCTACTCTCCCTCGATTAAGATTTCCTATGGCTTTTTCAACTTCGTAAAGAGACGGAGGACCTACATTAACTTGCTTTCAGGTTGACTGGAAATCATGGGAAACCGAAGTGTGGCTGATGGCCAGTTGAACTGATCCCTAAAGTGTTCTGCCCATCGATCCAATCTCCTGGATTGAGAATGTATAATATGTTCATCTTTCTCTGAGAGTGTTTCGCTAACAGTCGGTTTCCTAATACCGGTTTCCTTAACAAGTCTGAACAATTGTCTGCTATTACCTATTGCCGCTGCCTTTTCCATCTCTCTTGCTTTCGCTACCAACCACTGTTTGCGATCATTGAGTAGACTTCTTGTCACCTTGCGCTTAAGCTGACTCCGTTCTTTATTATGTTTAAAGCCAGGTGGAATGAGTTTCCGAGCATCTATCAGTGCGATAGATGCTGCTGAGATCCAGTGTTGATCCCTAACCTTACGGGTTACCGTACTAGCAGATATCACTGCTGTTTCCACAGCTTTTCGGATATCGTTCCATGCTGCCTCAGGGTGGGCATCACATGCATGGCTGCCTATCTGTTTTCCTAGTTGTTCCTGAAATATACTCTTAGCTTGACTATCATTAAGTAGGGCCCTAAAAGGTTTACTTGCAGCGTCTTTCCTACGTCCAGTAAGACGCAGACAAATACGCGCTCGTACTAGAGCATGATCTGAATCTAAGCGTGTGCTCCAGAATGAGCGACAGTCTTCTATCGAGCCCCTCCAGCGGTGGCTGATAGCGATGTGATCTATTTGGGTGCAACGTTGGGATGAATTAGGGGGTCTCCATGTTAAAAGATGTTTTTCCTTATGCCTAAAGTTAGTATTTGCAAGAAAGAGGCGGTTATCTAAGCATAGCTGCAACAGACAGTCGCCATTATCTGTTCCTTGAGCCATGACACCATAAGATCCACCCAGGTGTCTTTCCCTATCGCTTAGTTTACCTACTTGAGCATTAAAGTCACCGGCCATTATTACTACATCTGAGAGCCTAGCTTTAAGGAGGAGGTCGGAGAGCTTTCTGTAAAACTCATCTTTTACATCATCTGCACTGCAGTCAGTGGGAGAATAGGCAGAGACGACGAAGAGGCAACGAAGAGTGTCCCTATCTTTTCGGATCCTTACTGTTCCGTTCAGTCGGACAACGCACAAACGACTGTCTACTGGGATCCACTCTAAGAGAGCTAGTTCTGATCTAGGACTCAATGCTATACCTACGCCAGCGAGGCCACGGGAAGCAGAATCAGGGATTCCAGATACATGAAGTGTGAATCGAGTCGGTTCTTTATTTCGGCATGGTGAGGTCAAATAGATAACGCTACTCGGATCCTGTATGCGCGTTTCGGAGACGCAGCACACATCGATGGCGCGGGATCCTAAAGTCTTAGCTAAGGAAGCCTGCTGTTTTATTTGGCACAGTGTTCGGACGTTAAAAGCTCCTACGTGTAGTTTAGAGCGTGGTTTCAGGAGACCAGGAATAACGTTCCGCGTACTCTAATCGTTTGTCCTAGCGGTGCGGGGTGATAAAGGGACGTGAGAAATGTTAGTCATGGAGATAAGAGAGGTATTAAGAGGTGTAGGAAGGATTTGAATGTGACCAACTTGGTCTCGTGTGCTGTTACGGGTATGAGGGCTGGTGTCACTTCCCGGCTGCCCACACCGTGGAAGGGTATTTCTTGAGGAACCTGAAAAGGAAATTGGATTAGTGTTGGTCTTAAAGACCTGGTAGCGTGACCGTAGAGCCCAAGGGATAACTGCTTGAGGCCGGTTGCGCACGGTTTTTTCGTGGAAGGTTTTTGATGTGTTAGCTTCGTTCTTCAAAGGGCCTTACCGCCGGAGACGGAAATCCGCGAGGCAAGGCGGGGTGTGACATTTTCAAGGTCAATCTTTTCTAACCCCACCCCTCCTTGTGGGAAGGCAGCATCGCTGCAGATGCTGATTGTCTGAGGGAAACACCTTACTGCTGTCACACCCCTCTACAGTCAGCAGTACGACTTCGCCCTCAGACCTTGAGTTGCTGCTTTTAGTCTTACCGTTCTCCAATCGACCTGCTTGGCATGGTAGAACCTACAGGAACATATGTTCCAGCCAATATAGCTCGGTTGGGTCATTACGATAGGCAAGCCCGACCACCGCGTCAAGGTAGCAGCTTAGGTCGGGAAGACCGGTTGAACTGTTCATCAAAGTGTTCTGTATATCAATTCAATCTCTTCGATTGAACGGGAATAACAGTCCCATCTCTTTCAGTGATAGTTTCACTAACAGGAGATTTTTGATACCTATTCTGAATAATTGTCTACTGTTACCGACCGACACTACCTTTTCTATTTATTTTGTTTTCGCTGCCCACCACTGCCCACAACCATTGTGTAGACTTTTATCGGTATGGATTGAATTGAATAAATTAAGGAAGTTTAAAAAATTTATGAATCATAAAATAGAATGATAAATCAAAACGATCAAATAAACTCTTTCTATGCATTTAGATAACTTGACGATAACATAATTTGAAGTACGTATACTATAATAAGAGTTGTCATTTGTTTAAGTACATAACACTTTTAATTAGTAATTTTTAAAGACCTAACAATTAGATCATTCAAAATGACACAAATTACTCACAGATAATTTACTCTTACACAAGTAACAGATTCAAGTTGATTACACTTTATAACAGTGAATAAAAGCAGTATATAAAAGAATCTAAGTCTATAGAAAATATATGATGAATAGTGAAATAAAAAATAAAAATAAACATAAATATAAGCAAATATAAATATTAGATAGCTTACTTTCTTAACCATTAATTGAGAATGAAATTCATCAGGTACTTTTAAAGTAAGCAAACAAAGGGTATCATTGAGCAAAGGCATAGCTGAATAGCCAATTACACATGCAATAAACATTGAACATATCGGGTCAGCTACATTCCAACCATAATTGGTTACCAGAAATGAACTGAATATTACACTTACACTACCCAAAGTATCAGCAAGCACATGTAAATACACACCTATGCAAAAAATGAAACAATATAAAAATGATAAGATAAAGTGAAGTATGAAACTAACCAATTGTATTTCATTTGGAAATATAGACTTTTGATAACGATTAACAAAATTTGTATCAACATGGCACTATTCATTTATCGAGCACAGATCTACGTATAAAAATTTGGGTTACAATGTATGTGAGAACTAAAGATACTACACAGCTCAGTTAGTCAATCAGTAACAACGTAGAACTTCGTACGTACGTACGTACATCAGTTTGAGTTGCCACACCACATTAGCACAGAGATGCAGTTGTCGATTCAAAACCCATAGTGGTAGAAGCGGTAAGAGTATAAGCAGTAATCGGAAAGATTAGGGTTTGAAGATGTTATTCAATGAGTACAATACAGCGAAATATATTTGGAAAGAGAAAAAAGGGACATGAAGAATTCAGAAGATTAGAATTTAAGAGAACACAAGTTGGCAAAAGCTAGTCGAGCCATCTATTTTCGCGCTGGGATTTCATCACACACCAGACCATAAGGGATGATGAGACTTCCAAGATAAGTGAAGCGATCGACACGCTCAATTACTTCACTCCCTATCATTAGTTCGGGTGCCGATGTAACCCAATCCTGAAGCAACATTTTGCATTTCGAGGGGGAGAATCGCATGCCGAACGTGCTTGCATTGTTGCTTAGAGTGGTCAGAAGACTCTGCGTTTTGTCAGTGTCTTCGCCAAATAAAACTATGTCATCGGCATACTCTAAGTCAACAAGTGAATCTCCTGGTAGAAGTCCATCCCCTGGAAATCTAGATGAGGAAAGTATCATCTCTAAAAGCATGTCAATGACAAAGTGAAACAAGAATGGAGAGAATGGACAGCCCTGACGAACACCACTTGAGGTAATCAATTCTGATGACAGTTCGCCATAAGCTCTCACCCTACCAGTTGTGTTCGAGTAGAGAGCCTTTATAAGGTTAATGTAATTCTTTGGTACTCCTTTCAGTAATAAACACTGCCACAGAACCTCACGATCAAAACAGAGTTAAATGCCGCCTTAAGGTCGAGAAATATTACTATTGTGGGGTGTCTGAATGTGTGTCTATGTTCTAGGACCTGACGTAGTGTGAATATCTGGTCTATACAACTCCCTCCAGGTCGAAAACTACACAGCAACACCAAACCGAAGTAGGTGGGGGTGAGTCGAAACGTATTTGAAATTCTACGTGACACATTTAAAGCTATTTTATGAAAATTGACTCAGTACAGATTAGAAAAGTATGAACTGTTTCACAAATTAACATTGCTTTCTGTTTTCATAGTTGCTTCTAATACAAAATAGTAAGTCTTGAAACCTGACGTTTTTGGAAATCACTCAGCGGATGTCTTGTATGATAAAGGCCGAAAATACAAGGATAACGGTAAAATAACGTGTTTTTAAAATGTTACATTATATCATAGATTCAAAGAATAATAGGCTGTGAAATGGATTGGTTAATAATAGTCAAGCAGATGGGTACCAAGTTTGAGCTTGCATCGACCACGCTATTGTCAATTATTATTATTATTATTATTATTATTATTATTATTATTATTTGAACACATGAATATTGGTACAAGAGAGCGCCAATATATATGCGCCACACAAAACAATAAAGATTCGAAGAGAAGTACAAAAAAACAACTAAGGAGCGCAAAAGAAAAAGAGAACAATAAGGAAGAGATTGGTGTAAAGGTAGTGTGGTAGTAACGAGGGAACGAAAAGGTACAATCAGAAGAAATCTTTCAGGTAAGGGAGACACTAACACTTTTTATGAAGAAAGTAAAAGGTTACAGCAGGATCGCCACTGGCTTCTATTCTGAGCCATATCTGATAACGTCTCTAGCCACTGTGTTGCACCATCTCTCAGACCCCAACCAGGGAGTCGTGAAGGACCGACTGAAGCCAGCCTTTTGCAGCTTTCTTTCATACCACGACACCATGTCATACACTGACCACCTCTCCACCTCGCTTTTTCCAACCAGTCCCAGAGTCGGCAAATAATGCACGACGTGAAATTCTCTGGGACGACATTCGTAGAACATGTCCAAGCCACCGAAGTCGGTGTTTCAAGATGGTGACACCAATTGCATTATCGTCTCTGTGCCCGAACAGACGATGCCGAACCTCTGCATTACTAACATGGTGTTGCCACTGGATGTCAGCAATCCTTCCGAGACGACGATCATCAAACACAGAGAGACGTCTAACGTCCTCAACTCGGAGAGGCCAGGTTTCACAAGCATAGAGCAGAACTGCTCTCACCGACGCGTTGTAGATCCGACCTTTTACAGCTAGACTAACATCATGAAGGCGCCAAAGGTGGCCCAGATTGGCATAAGCCGCTCTGGCTTTCACTATTCGTGCATTGATCTCATCACTCACACCCCCACCAGCACTTATGATGCTACCCAGATACACGAACTTCTCGACTACTTCTATCTGTTCACCGTCCAGAGTGAGTACAGGATTGGAATCCTGCCAGTCTTGTAGAAGTACTTTGCACTTCAAAGGTGCGAAGCACTTGCCAACAGTCAGAGCTGTTTCCATAATATGACCAATGGCAAAGTTGAAGAGGAATGGTGAGATTGGGCAACCCTGCCTAACCCCACTGCTTGAATGGAACAGTGGAGAGAGGTGGTTGTATGCCCTTACTCTACTCGAGGTGCTTGTATATAGGGCTTTTGGGATGTTAATAAACTTCTCAGACATACCCTTCTTCAATAGACAATCCCAGAGAACAGTCCTATCCAACGAATCGAAGGCAGTCGTGATGTGAAGAAACACTACGATTGTTGGCCTTTGATAAGTATGGCGGTGTTCTAACATTTGACGGAGGGTGAAGATATGATCAATACATCCTCGACCAGAACGAAACCCAGCCTGCTCCTCGCGAGTCAATCTTTCTCGGGTTTTGAACAACCTACGAAGAATGACGGAAGCCAATAGCTTGGACGCAATCGGAAGTAGACTTGTCCCCCGATAGTTGTTGCAGGAACAACGTGAACCCTTTTTAAAGACAGGGACAACTATCGACTCATTCCATGACGTTGCTATACTCTCTAGTTCCCAAACCTTTGTAAACAACGTCGTCAATTCCTTAGTCAAAAAGTCACCACCATCTTTAAAAAGAGCCGGAAGTAAGTCATCTGGGCCAGGTGATTTGTTACGCTTCAAGAGTTGGAGTTCCTTGCGGACTTCCTCCTCGTTTGGTGGATCAGTCGTCACCGTCCATGGAGGGCAGGACAGTCTGACCGATGTTGCCGGAGCAGCAGGCCAGTTGAACTGCCCTACGAAAAATTCTGCCCATCTCCAAAGACGTCGATGGATGTTAGTGATTGGCATCCCATCATCCTCGCAGATTGTTTCACTCACACCAGACTTCTTGCTGTCAGTGGCTCGGATGAGCTGGAAGAGCGTCCGGTAGTTACCAGATGCAGCTGCTGCTTCCAGCTCATTAGCACGCTTCGACCACCAGGCTTCTCGGTCCTTACGCAAGCTTTGCCCAATTTCAGTACATAACATCCTTCGTTTATGGTCAAACTCACGGTCACCCAGAGTAGACCGACGGGCTTCAATGAGTTGTAAGGAACCAGAAGAAACCCAGTGCTTAAAAGCGGGACGTTTCGCGAACCCACAACTGACTGTTCCCGCCATTTTCATGGCGTCATGCAATTGCAACCAATGCTCATCTATACTTTTCGGTGGAGTGGTAGCTAGCCTAGAGGCTAGCTCGGTTCGATACTTACTTGCAACAGAAGTTGCAACCAGCTTGCTAACATCAATCTTTTGGTGGTGGTCACTCCGTTGGCCACTGAAAAGTAAGGCAAGATTGGCGCAGACCAAGGCGTGGTCAGAGTCCAGATAGGTACTCCAAAAGGAGCGGCAGTCTTGTACACGCTATTGTCAAAACAACTAACAGTTACGTTAAGTTAATTTGAAAAAGATTTACTTAAATACTTATAAATATCACATATTATAGACTAGTATAATTCTGTATTAAGTCATCCATTAAACATAGTACACATAAATATTATATTATTAAGCAAATAAACAATGGAATCCTATTTCTCTAAGGCCACAACTTCGACGTAGAAATGGATTTCATTGATAAGATATTTTAAGTTTTAATCATGAACATTTTTCCAGCACCTAACTAAGCCATCGGTGAACCTGCGGTTTTACCAGACAACAACTCTGTACTTAATTTGTTAAATATTTGTATGACGATTCGACTACATTTAACTATCATTAAATTAGCATATAACAATACGAACAAATAAATATCCTTTAAATGGGTTAGAACCTCTTAATATATAGTAAAGTTAGAACAGTTTTCGGTACATTTTGAAAGTACGTCATATAACTACACATTTGGAGCTCTTCCATAACAGTCTGACTGCAACACGAAATACATAACTGCACTATTCAAAGTTATGAACATGAGAAAAGTTGAAAACTTATCAAAATATACCTCGTAGGTTAGCATCTCCCGCTTCATCTTTCTGTGATTTGTGCGATCCACAGTGCTGCTGATGACCGTGTGTATGACCATAATGAAGTTCTTCATTATGAGCTTCAACAGCATGTTTGAGATCATGGTGATGAGAATGAGATATATTTGAACTGTGGCTATGATTCCGGCTATGGCTGTGACCATGCTCGTGATTATGACAATGTCCACTAGAACTGCCTCCATGATTATGACCGTGGGAACCACTATGACTGTGACCATGTCCACCATGACTATGACCATGGCCTCCATGACTGTGAGCATGACCAAGAGCGACAACACCAACAATATTTACAAGCAAACCTAAAATAGATACAGCCTAAAATAGAAAAGTTGAAAATTTGGGTACAGAAACAAAGAAATTGTTCAATATATTATTCAACAGAAATTTTATCATTAGCTTTGAATAACGAACAACAACAGGGATACTAGAACTCAAGATCTACATGAAGACAAAGAGTAAAATATATCCGTCCCGCTGTAACTGATTTTACACCTTACTAGATGTTTCCAAATATTGGTCAAGACGATCATGTGGACCCCAGACAAGTAATCTGCATCTATTAAGATGACTCAGACCAACAGTCAATAAATTCATGGACTGATCCAACGTCTTTTTAACATCCCTATATATGTGGTGTATTCTACTTAAGCTGACAGATATAAGTAGTATGTATCAGTAATCGGGAGCGGAATGCCTGGCAGTAAGAGACTGCAATGAAGAGAACAGAAAGAAAATCTGAGAACAGTCGAAATAACAACAGTATCAGAGGAATAATGTAGTGTGTAAAGGAAAACGCAAAGAAAAAGTGCAAATAATATGACAGTAAGACCGTAAATACCAACAACTTTAAAAACACATTGAAATGTATATGTTTGTTAAGTGGTAGTTCAATAAAAATATGCTTCTGTTAAGATTTCCATATCTTTCCGATTTTTTTCTACTACAATAATCGTCAATCATATACAAATAAATGGAGGTAGGGAAAAAGCTTATCACTAGTTTTCTACGCATACACCCAAATGTTGAGTAATGAAAAATCAATTGTGTAATAACATAGCATAGCATCAAGAAAGATAAAAATAGATTAATAAATTTACCAATAATTTATCAGTTTTAATGTCTGGTGGTTGATGAATACGTACAATTGAATTGATAAACACTGATCCAGATATAACCAACAGGAACAGTGCATTGACAAGTCCAGATAGAATCTCTGCACTGTTATATCTGAATAAGTATACGGAAAAAAAACAAATCCTGTAGTTCTTTGAAAGAGATAATTGAAGCGCAAAAATAATCATACGATAACGTAAAGCGTGAATATTAGTAAAAAGGTGGCTTACATAATTAGTGGCGAAAAATGACTTATTGAACGGTTGTAGTATTATCCTCAGTAATACAATCGTGACGGGAAGTTTGATTTCGTGACAGTATTATAGAGTCTAGCACTAGACAGAACCCATATCGGTTATTCTAGATTCCAAATAGACCAAATTATTCATTCTTCTTGAGCCATATTTACACCTTGTCAGTTATTCACTTACTAACCTTGACTCATTTTATATGACCGTATGTATTAATTACTTATCCTATTCATCACATGTCTTCAGCTCATTTTTGTTTGGATATAAATATTGAGTCACGCTTGAATAAAGGAAATTGACATGTCTACCTTCTCCGATCTAATTCTCCGCTCCGTTTCTCTGATTGTTTGCCTGGATCAACGAGTGCCTGAAATATACGTATTCCAAATTCATTCTCGTATTTGACTTATTTAGTTCCGTTTTTCCCTAACGTGAATTAAGTTGATAATTATGTACGAGGGTATCCGGTGTGTATATTTCGTCAACATCATTATACGATCAAACCAGAGTCAGATCAACGGACTACAAAAGTATGTTAAACAATTCTTCAGTTACATTTTAGTGACCAAAATGTTCAACTTTAACGACCGTATAAAACACACTGAGCTATTATGCAGTGTCCTACGGTTCGCTTCTAATCACATACCGACTAGATAATTTTTCCGTTACAACCGTCAGTATCTACTCAGATTATTCGCGAGCAAGAGATTAAGATTTCTGAAGAAAATCACCTAGCCCTACCCGTTGAGTATAGTGAGATGGCAATCATAACATAGATCAAAACAAACCAAACTAAATTAGAACTTGATGAAATTAAACAGATTTCTTCCAAAACGATTGAAAGTCCCAAAGAGTAACAATACTTTTTGATAAACCCTTTAGACGATATCGTACACTGACGGAGTCATATCTAAAAAATAGCAAAATTAAACTTCAACATCTAAAACTAACTATCTGGTCAGTCGTAGGTATCATTACCAAGGTTTGATTCGATAATTTCGAATAAATTGAGCATTGTGTAGATCATTATAAATATTATGTCATAATATTCGTGTTGTTCCGTTGTACTGTTTAAAATTGGATTAATTTTAGTTTGTTTATTTGTCCTCTGAAGAAGTAGCTTACACCAAGTCACGAAACGTCGGAAAATCTAATTTCTCTACTCATTGAGATATTACACATATATTATTTATTTATATCTGGTCAGTCAGTCATATACAATGTAGGACCTGACACATGTGTACATCGGTCCAAGTTTTCATGACACATCAGTACAGCGAAATAAAATCATCAAGGCAAACTACAGAGTAGTAGCAGGAGTAACAGTATTGGTGATAATAGAAAGATTAAGCACGAAAAACATGATTTGAGGAAACATGGATTTATGGAATTAAAAACTTTATAACGTAATTTATAAGCTTAGGATCTAAGGGAAAACAAAAAGTAAATGCATTTTTGCCACTGTGAACGATTCTGAGCAAATTTACTCAAAGTCGCTAGCCAGTGATTGAGGGCTCAAATCAGGTAGCCTGTATCTACCTACATGACTCAGTCTAAAATTCGATGACCTTACGGACAAATGACACATCTTGGTTTGACCACCCTTCGCTTTTTTCTCACCTAATCTTCTGACATCATCCATTACGATAGACAGTGGGTGAGCATACGCGATACATGTCCCAACCGTCTTCATCACTATCTCATCAATTGATTTCCTATTCTTACCTGGTACATTGCGTCTGACCTATTAACTAGGTGATCCCGACATGCACGATCAATGTTTGGAAGACATATGCGATCTAAAACTAGTGTCTTACGAATATACTCTACTCTTAATGGTTTTTTCACAGCGGTAAAAGTAGAACGGAGAGAATTGCTGCACAGTATACTCGTCCTAATCGCCTGCACCAAAATGAGGGCGATTCGGAAAAGGCTAATCGAGTTTTTTTAATTCATGCTAAGATTTCATCAGACACTAAACCATCAGGAGTGATAAGATTTCTATGATAAGAGAAGTGATCAATGGACTCGATTAATTTACTCCCCATCCTTAGTTCGGGTGTTGAATTAGACTAATTCTGAAGCAACATATGAAGTACACATTCATTTTAGCAACATCCAACTTCATATTAACACCTTTTTAAACAATAAGCAACTGTAAACTATATGAAAACATTGCATAAGACTTACCCAAATGAGAATATACGTGTCGGTTTCCAGTGTGAAACTACAGCAGCATATAATCCTACTACAAGTGCTGCTGAATCGAATAACATATGAAAACCGTCAGAAATTAAACCTAAACTATTCGTCCATACACCATAAAAAAGTTCCACAAATGTAAAAGCCTGAAATTGAAATAAAATCTCATCTGTTAGAATGAACGCTAATGTATGCACTCATAAGAATAGCTAAAACTCTGTCTTCTCATTGTTCTATCAAAATTCAGAATAACTTTGATGGGGTTTCATTCTGAGCTGGATGGTTTATTCGTCAGACATGCATTACTCTTCTGATCATCAGCGCAAAACTCAGATAGGAGTATGTCATTCAAATTTCTCCACATATGACTGACAGCTTGCTCTATTGACCCTGATCTTGATTGGTTGTTGTTGACCTTAACATGTCGTTGTCCGTACATTTGTTTCAACTGTTTATCTCTTTGACCTGATTGTCCATGATTTCTCTAAATGGTTGATAAATTTGTTCGATTTCAATGTGCTTACAAATTGCTAATTGACCTGAATGTCAAGCTTTTAAGGCTTCTGCGATCATCTTAGTAATTCTTCTATCTAAAATCTCAACATTTTTTCCATTCCATCAAATTCTAAGCACGCTTCAGTTGATTCTTTTTGACAACGAATAAGTCATCCACATAATGAATCTACATTTTAAACTTGATCACTGCTAGAGTCGATACTTCCAGTCTCTGCAAAGACTATCCCAACTACTGCCTTATAAATACCAGTATAGTTAAAGATCGTTTATTTGAGAAAAAAACAGTATTTCGCGATTCAATCAGTTAGTGAGAAGATTTAAGTTTTCGTTACAACGCGATCAAATGATATCATCAACATGAATCACCTATTGATATCCGACAAATCTCAAAAAAATCTCCAATTCCAGCATAATGATAACCTTTTCCAATTCCCAATTCATGTGAATCAAGACAAAACGAATGTTTAAACAACTCGTATTAGGTGGATCTATCACATATAAAGCATTTTAATGTAAACAGGAATCCGTATTGTAGATGTAATATGAAATACAGAAAATTTTAAAAAGAATGCAGCTGCACTAAGTACCCTATTTGAGGAAGTGTTGAGGACAGATTATCACTATGAAGTGCTTTAATATATATTAGTAAGCTCACTTGTTCTTTTACAGTAGATTATACAGAGCGTGCACTTTCCAAACAAATATCCCAGCACTACTCCTCATGGCCATCTAAAACAGGATGCACGTCAGTCAACACCTCAATTCCTGAACACATGGTTAACTCTAGTAAAGCATAGCTATCGAGATCATTTTTTAGGACCACTTACAAAGTCGAAAAAACGAGCTCAAGGGGTACTTCTGATAAAAAAAATTGTGCGCAGTTGAGAGATTACCCATTCAACGAATTTTCCTTGATTAATCATTTCATTTTGTTTATGTAATATGACTCCAGAAATATAAAATGTTTTGATGTTACAGCAATCGGAATTGAGAATAATAATAAACAATTATTCAGATCAAAATAGTTTGATATTTGATCGTATTCATGACTATTCGAGTCAATTACTGAAACAGTGTCAAAATATGTAATGAAGTGAAAAAATCACTAAATACAAACGATTTCTAATGCATCAACTAGTGGCTGTAATAATTAAAGTGCTAATGTTAAATATTTATAATTCACAAATTATAAGGTCTAAAAATAGACAAACGCTAAATGGTGGGTTAGGAACAGTAGTCAATTGTACAACATACAAAAAAAGCAAAATTCTTACTAGATTTAAACACAAGAACGCGAAAATGCGACGTGAAGCTTGTCCAGTTAATATGCCATGAAACGTAGCTCGTAAATGATACCATAGACCAAATTCTTCTGAATTCGCTAATAAGGCAGTACCGTGTGTAGGTGTTTGTCCAGCAGTAAATAAAGGTAAACCAGCCATTGAATAACCAATAAAATGACCACTTGAAATGCCTTCTGGACCATGACCAGATTTATCTGCAGTTAAAAGATCTGATGCTTTATTCAAAGAAAAAATTGAAATTAGGAAGGTAAATTTTTATTAAGAACAGTAAGTTACAAATTATTTGCAAAACCAGACAACTTATCTTAACAATTTCATCGTAAATAAACATATGATAAAAAATATCAGAGACTACTACAATTTCATGAACTTTCTTTCGAAAAGAATAGAAACTTATTCCGTCATATTATCTCATAATAACTTAAAAAGGATTAGTAGTTGTTTGAACTACATTCTCTATAGAGGTACTTTTAATGACTGATCATGATTATACTAATGTTAACAATGTGTTCATCAATTTGACAAAGTGTAACTAGCTAAAAAAAAGGTCTTCTCTACAAGATCCAACTATATTGTTAGTTAAAGATTTTCCAAAATCAACTAGACTTGATTACTCTGCAAGCATTTCACTGGAGAAAAAAACGAAATGACTGATTCAACTAAAGTAAGGTAAAATTTATTACTATAAATCAGTGAACAAGTACAGATTTAACCAGTTGGTTTACATACGCACTTAGTCTTGTAGTTCTAATGATAATACTTGTTAGCCCATATTAATTAGAGTAGCCCATCATATAAAGTGAAGTGTTTTAAACTCCGATGCGGAAGTAAAATCACTATCAAAGATGAAATGTTTCTACAAACAGTGATGTATACAAACTTTACAAGATTGATGTATATTAAAAAAACTGACGATTGATTACGTCATGTCTTTTTACGCGGTTTTTTGAAGCGGATTTATGAAGATATTCTATGCGCGCAATTATTGTCCTGTGAAGTATCAACCTAATGTTTAATTTAATTTAAACAAGATCGGAATTTGAGACCTATATGTATAGATCGTAATGGTAGTTCTTAATTAATGATAAACAATAATAAAACATCAATTAAAGGATGATTACAATCCATACTGAAGTCATACAGTGAAATCTATTCGTTAGGTTTTTCTTCAGTAAAATAAGATAATCTGGCTTAGTTTAGTTAATTGTTAGAAGATTAAGAGTAAGATTACGTATTAACTCAATGTGACAGTTCATTCAGTACAAAACCCATTTTTATAATATTTGTTGTACGTATTCAGTGTGGTATTTCGTTGTGTATTAATCCAGCATGAACTACGCTAATAAATAATCAATACAAGTAAATATTGTACATAAATGAAAGTATTTGTAACTAATGGACGAGGAATCTTTTAGTTTTAAATTAGAAAATCAATCTTCAACCACCAAGATTCCTTGTCGTTTCCCATGCACTAATCCATGTCAATCTTAGCTCAAGTTATAACAACAGACAAGATAAACTTGTCCTGAGCTCAAAGAGAGACAGTTATCACTTGGTGACAGAAAATAATCCTACAGGGAGTTGGTCTCAGACTAAGTGGAACATCAATGACAAATGTCAAATCTATAATACCCAGATACGGAAAATCTGAGTTGAGAAATGTACCATTTCCCAAGACTAGGCTAAAATCAGTCTAAACAAACAATGTTTAGAATACCGTTCTGATATTTTAAACTTCACGAATGCAGTTGAACTTGGAGTACCGAAATCTTCATGTTTAATTACTAGTTTTCAAGAACAAACTGAAAGTTTTTTACAGTAACATTGTCGGTTGAAATGGTAATAAAACGTTTACTTTCTTTTATCTTTCCAACTGTTTTGGAGGATGAGTCAAGGAGTTATTGAGAGTATGGTACAAGTTCGATACTTGCATTCCCTATTGTGTAGTTAGGTCGAGTTGTGTAGTTCCAGCCAGGTCATAACAATGGGATTAGATAAAAACCACAAAACAAGTATAGCAGTAGATACTAAATATGAGGAATACAGTGGCTTACCATATAAAATACAAACGACCGAAACAATTACTCCAACAGACATTTGATGTTTAAGTAGGAAACTGTTTACAAGAATCTCATTACGATCGACTGAAACAAATTGTTCTACGGAATCTGAAGATGACCAGAAAAGGCTAAAAATGGTATTAGATGAGATATGTAATGTTTGCTTTTGAATTATCGACAATGAAACTTAGTAATTCAAGTAACCAGAAAGTGATTATAAATAAGCAATACTCTAATAAGGAAAATCAATGCCAAAAACCGATTCAAAGATGGCCTTAGTTAGAAGTTAACGACGAAGAAACAGATCCATAATGTATTAACAAAAAGAAATTAGAATTTGTGCTAATAAATTATGCAATCAAGATATCAATTAGATATGCTTTTAAAACAAGCAAGAAAGAGTTTTACATCCAAGTACATTAAAATACCTTAAAAAATATTTTGAAATTGATAATAAATGTAACTTATTTCAATCAGTTATGTTTTATACAATTTTTCGTCATTATGTAACTTACACCTGACGTGAATCTGACACAAAGGAACAGCTTAACTAGAATGTTAACAAATCTTTAATATAAAGATAATTTGTTTCACTTAATAATCCGTTTAACATGGTATTTTTTCAATAACAATAAACGTTTACATCTAGATTTAATCAATTTTGTAACTGAAAGACCAATAGCTAGTAATAGTTCAAATGTGTAGAAATAAGAAATAAGGAATTACGACAATTTGATCAAACAAAACGTCTTTGAAATTCTGTTGCTTCTTTTTCTTCTTGTAAACAGTTAGAAAACGAAACTCTCTCAAGAAAAATTTCCCAAAAATCTACTGGTTCTGTAAGTTTAAAGGTAATAAAGTAGAATCTTGTTTAAAAACTAACAAGATTTCAAACATTTTCTCTTATTCAGTATATTTGGATTTGTAACTAAAGAACAGTATGGAGTATACATATAACAACAGAGACTGATCATTTACAGTCGTGAATATTAACAATAGGAAAATACAAAGCCTTGATAATATTTTCTTTTTTCCCTAATTTTAAAAAGACAATAATCGTCCATATGTTGATTAATGAGGAGTATTTGAGATCTTAATCTTTCAGATGCTATAAGTAAAACTTTTTGGTTGTTTGATGACTTTTTATGTATTTCAAAATGATTAGACAGCATCACGATATCCACATCCTCTTTGGTAATGATTCACCGATCTAGCCAATTGAAATCTAACCACAATTACGAAGTCAGTTTGATTGAGGTCATCTAATTGAGGGGTAATAACGCAATACTAGTGACATACAAAGCTATCAGATCGTTTGACCTTTATGTAACGCATTTAAGTTCATTCAAACTTTGATCTAATTAGGAGATCATTATTGAAATAACGAACCGATCTAAGTTTGACAAACACTGGAAACCTAGTTACTGCGTGACCATTTCGTTCTAGTATGGTACTCCTCAGCAGTGCGCATCTACGACCATTGAGTCTCATGTCAGTGATCTAGAGGTCAAGAATCCACGCGCGATACCAAGGATCCCGGGTTCGATTCTCAGGCGTGGAGTCATGGATACGTACTGATGAAAAGTGCCGCACTGGACGAAACGACCAACCAGTGCTTTCAGGTTTTTAATGATGATTTAAATAAGATCGGTTCGGGATTCCAACGAAATTCAACGATTTCTACTACAACACAAACTGATAAAAGATTCTCATTTCAACAGCTGGTCAAAATGAAGCCATGGTCCAATCTTTTCACTGACATATTTAGAGTAGATAAAGAAAAGCACGAATAACCTCATAAGTTTTGTGTCAGTAGAACAAGGGTTTGGAAAAATTCCAATACGTAGTTTGGCTCATAAGTTTTACTTGAATTAGTTTCGAAAGACTCACAAAGCTTTATGAACGAAATATGAAGGTCGAAAATCGCAACATTTTAAAGTGTCTATAGTCGGCAAACAAAATATAAACTTAAATGCATACTATGGGTCATGAAAATGCTTCGCAATGAATATTATGAAGGTTAAAACAAAAATAGAAACTAATCGGACAACCTGAATATTAGGCTAGTTATAACGACAGTTAGTTTAGCAAGACGAGTCACTGATTGAGAACCAAGTCGCCCGCTGACCAGACTGGTCATATAGAAATCGATTACATGCATGGTACTTATATAAACCATCCAAAATAGCCAATCTCTTTGTGGGATATTTCCAGATGATTCATGAGAAGGCATTTGATCGTTAACATTTTCTACCATCTTCAAAAGATTTAATTGTTCCTGTGAGAAAAACGAAATAAAAACGAAGAACAACCACGTATTATTTTTAGTTCTACTCACAGTACATATATAATGTATCTTAAAAGGTAAGTAGTTGAGAAGCAATAAAAATTGGTGCTCAATGTATTTGTCTGTTCATAAACATTTAGGTATGCAACGTGATAACTATTAAGCTTCCTTGCTGGAGTTCATATTTCGTTCATCAACAACTACCAGAGCTGACGAGACGACTAAGGTGAGCGAGTTTGTCAACGCAGTTAATTATTTGGTTTAAAGTGGGACTAGACTTCGACAAATGCTACACTTCATAAATGAAAAAAACATTATGCCGCAAGATATCCTTCAAAACTTGGCGTCCTGACTGTGTCATTGTCTAATAAAGCATTTATCTGAATACTTAGAACCGATTAAAGTATCGAATTCGTTTAAAACAAGACGCATTGCCGACCTATTCTTTCAACAAGTGCAATTATTTATCTTTTTGAACTTTATCGGCACAAGCTACTGAATTTCTTAAGACGATGAATATAACTCAATTTTAAGTTTGAATCTTCCCGTTATTGGTATGAAGGACGGCAATTGACCAGTTTCCTTTAGGGTATGTGCATCATGAGCGGCTCGCTTCAACGTTGCCACTAATCGCAAACACAGTTGGGTAGTGGCTCGAAGTGGAATCCAAGATGTGCACTTCATTATACTTGAAACTCAACAGCTGACTGTCTCCCTATTGCAGTGTTGATGTTCACTCCGCGACACCAAGAATTGGAAGATTCAAACCCATAAAACTGGATTATAATTCATACCCGTTGTGCGTGCCAGTGGCTATCTGCATTCAGTAGATAAGTGGATAACGCGTTAGTGTGTGAAGTAAAAAACACTGATTTTGAGTTCTGGAGTAAATATTAAAACTACGATACTGCTACATTCAGCCGGATAGTTCCGAATGAGATAAAAAAAACAGCTCCAAGATTCCTCTGCTAGCCACCACCCAACCCTGATTACGTAACGGATAAATTGTGAAAGCGACACTGTGCTTAGATAAAAATCAAGACCACATAATTTCATTCGTAAAGTATGATAGATTACTCGTATTGTCGTTTCACAAACTTCCTGTCAGCTGTAGATTTCAGTGGAATGATCTATTATAAGGATTGCGATAAATTATTTGAATGAACTGTGCATTTTTAAAATTTATATATATCCCGTTGATGAATGTTCAACAAATTTTATAAAGTGAAAGCGACTTTCTGAATGTACTTCAAAGTGGATCACGGGGTTAAAACGACTACCTTAGCATTAAACACTGAGTCCATCAAAATTAAGTCGTTTTGTATAAAACTTTGACCGACTAACAATCAAAACTCGGTACACTGAGCTAACCAGAAAAAATTAGAAAAAGCGGAGGAAATTAAACAGAAGACACTTAAAATAAACCCTTTCTACTGGAGCTTTTCCGTGTAAAAAATGTTTCCGTAAAGGAGATAATGCTAGTTTTCGTATCCCCATGGAAATCAATGGATAGTATAAAATCATAAATCATTCTTCCTTTCGAACTTCAATGGGTCATGTGAACCACTGGCTCCCAATCATAATAGCACAAATTCCCTAAGCAGATGTTTTGTGTAGCTCAATAAAAATTAGTCCCTCACACATGTGGAAAATATACAAACCACGGAAAGCAATCAAAACAAATCTATTGGTATATGCTTTGTAAAAGCCATCATAAGATAAAGATAACGTTCTATAATATCTAGATACTCTGAGAGACTAGCAAACTCATACCTAATTACGAAAATTTAAAACAATATGGAAGGATTTATGAAGGCAAACAAAGGAATTCAAAATATATACCCAATTACCTTGGTGTGAAAGGAGTTTTCATTGAAGAAGTGAGTAAGAAGAAAAAACGGAATCAATATGACGAAGCTGATTAACGCAGAAAGGCTGTATAAACGTTTGGCACCTCCGACAGATGTTACTAACGTCCTAGAAATTGAAGCTAGCCCGGCATCCAAGCAAACCGCACTAATTAGGACAACAACACCAACCTTTTGAATGGAAAGAAAATCGACCGGTGATAGTTTACAAGTTAGCTGACAAGCAAAACATCCTGCTACTGTTACATTTTTATGAATATTTGTCGCCCTTGTCAAAGGCAATCTTATAGATTAACAACTGGCCATATCAACTCACTACCTGATAGTGCGCGGTTTGAGACAGTCATATCAAACAATGAAATGCCCACGTGGCCTATGTTCACAACCAATAAAACTCCCCAACTATGAGAATAAGGGATATATCAGATAAGGGGATCAGGTATCTGTTAAAATGATTCCTATTCGTGTATTTCATTAGAATCAACTACCAATAACTCACCAAGTGTATGCAGTTTTATACATGTCGTCAATACCATCAAAGAAATAAGCTAAAGTCATCTCTGCTAAGGTAGAAGTGATATTTAGTCTGTTTAACAGAAATGACTTAGTGGTTAAGGCATTAGGGCTCCAGTCATTCTCAGGTTTGGACCCCGTCCAGTCTACTAAGGTTTGGACAGCTGGACAGTATTATTAGCTTTCACACTTAAAGTGTAGTTCATACACAAGTACTTGACGAATGAGTTAATTTATTTTTATTTATTTGTTTGCGTTAGAATCAGTTGCAATGGAGTAAATGATTCCACTTTGTCTTCTCTTACGTAACTGGTTTTCAAGAATAATTTCCATTTTTTATTTCGCGAATTATAACTTCCTTCTGGATCACAGTGTTGGTGCTGAATCTTTTTTACTATCACTGATGACTGTTAGTTCCATTACTTTATCTTGACCACTCCATTTCGGTGTGCATCACTTTTGAAGCGTCGATACTATGCCAATTGGTACAAGAAACCCACACTAAATATAAACGAAACGCCAAAATAAACCTAACATTTATAAGCTGATTCACCAATAATAAGCAGAATACACCGACAGTTTTAGATTTTAGCACTAGTCCTCACTAGTTTCATTAATCCAACTAAGAACCTCGGGCAAACAAGTAAAAGTTAAGATTACTATTGAGTAGAATGATCTATTAATACGAATGGGTAAAAACGGAAACAAACACCGTCGAATAAATGTTTATGAAGATTAAGAAGACCAAGTAGACTTCAGCAGTAAAAAAGATACCCAGTTGAACTTTCGAACTATCAACCTAGTAATGGAGATAGCTGAAGTGAATAGTGCACAAAATCATAGCAATGATCTTGCTTTACAGTGATGACTATCAGGATATTCGTTTTAAGTTTATTACATAAAATAAATCTCACATTAGAAGTGCACGTCACTTCTTTTAGAGAATTCACAACATGCAAGTAGAATAAATCTCTTACCTTGTGATCTGAGAGTCCAAAGTTTACAAATAATTCATATAAATGATGGATTAGGAAACTTTTATGAACTCCTTCAGCTACACAATATTACAGAAAGGAGTTAAAGGAAAATATCCACGTATATGTATACGCATAAATACAAGCAGCTTGCAAAAAATATCAATCACTCAAGGATCAAATGTTATGCTAAGAAATTGTCAGGACAGTGAGACTACCTGAAATCTCTTAATAAAACGATATAATGGAACCAATTATCGTGGAAACGCAGATATAATATATCATTTGAGGACTATTCAGACTGGAATAAAGTGCCGTCTCGTAGCTGTAAATATATTACATCATTTCAGCCTAAACTACGATATCCATTCTATACTTTATGACACAATCGTTTATGCCGAATTTTGAAATTTCTTCCAGTGTTAAAGTTTAGCGCAGCACAGTACACTACTAAATCCGTCTGTATGCCAACTAACGGAATTGCATAAAATATTGACTGACACTCGCTCAATAAATTGACATCAACGTTGGCAACTAAATAGCAGCGCAAACTTAGCATCAACAAACAGTGAACGAAGTTTATATAATACATTCAATAACACAGGAGCTTGAACAAATAAAATGACTGACTGAGTTATTACAGCATTGAATTGTGTCCTTCGCACACACAAGAACTCGCATTTTGGAATAAAAGGTCACCTAACGTGAAAGTCAACCGTGAAACAGTCAATTATCACAAGTCCTAATCAACGTAATGAGTTGCTTTCCGAAACACTGCTAACAAAATGTCAAGACAATGTTAAAGAAAGAATAAATATCATACCACTACGTAAAAAAGTAATGAAAAGGATACGATGCTCCGTCTCCCCATGACTATAATCATGGTCGAAAAATACCAAACACAGGACACCAATTACAAAGAATACTGACCCTCGAGTCTACAAATGATCAAGTTTAAAGTTTAAGATACTAACTTTTTTAGTGCAATTGGACCCGAAGATAAATGTACCAACTGAAGCAAGAATTAGAAGTTCGCTGTGCTCGAACAACAAAATAAACCTGAAAATAAGAGCTCATTGTGAAGTTTTGTCACCTGAAGGGACCACAAAGAATAAGCCCTTCTATCCAAAAAGCATCAATAAGAAGCCGGACAAAAGAGAACTTTAAGATGTGAAACCACTAGAAATAAACAGCGAATAGCCAATGAACAGACCTCAGTAATCTTCAATTTAGGCCCATTAAAAGGCTTCTGCAGTGGCACCATAATAAGTAATGCACTAGAAGAGATATATGATAAATTTATTGACAAGCTTACGTAGATTTTAAAGCAATTAATATAGTGAGAGGATTAGAATTCTTTAACAGTTCATACGTAGCGTAAACAGATATCACTTTTAATAGTTTGATGACAGCTAAAACTACCAGAAGAATTTCCATCCTTAAAAAAAACTATTTCAAGGTGTAAACACCAAATACCTTCTTCCGCGGTATGATAGATTATTAGAATGAAAATCCATTCTGTTCAACATCGCGCCTTACCAAACGATAGCGTCAACCGACCTTGAGATTATAAACGCTTTGGTGTGGCTTTCAGTCTTCAGTAATAAGGACAGGAGGTCTATCGACCTATATTAATCCCTGGAGTTTGCAATATTGTGGAGGTCCAATCTCGTTCTGAATATATCAACTTAAGGTGCTGAAATTACGTGTTCCGGTAGAGAATTCCAGTCATTCACTACTCGGTGCGAGAAACGAAACTCCAGACGTAAACGATTTGATCTCGGTTTTTGAACTTCCTTTGAATGTCCTCTCAAATGGTCAGTCCTAGACGGAAAGAAAAGATAGGACATATTAATACCACGTTCATCGTTCAGTATACAATAAGCCAATATCAGATCACGTCGTATTCTACGGTAAAATAACGGAAATTAGTTAAGGTATTTTAGTCTGTCTTCGTAAGATAGGCCAGACAGACATCTTGCCATTTCAGCCCATTGTCATTCGACCCGGTCCAGCACATTTGCTTCATACGTGAAACATGTACTCACTGCTTTAAACCATATTCCGAATGCAGTTTCACGAAAGTCGTATACAATTATCTAAACATTCCCTCACCCAAATACTGAAAAGACTTACGAATAGCCTCTTGCAGCAGCAGCCTTGCAGTTACTCGTAGTTTTTAGATAACTGCTTATTATGACTCCTAAATGTTTATAGTTTATTGCTTTGTGTAACACGACTCCACGTGTAGGGCCAGTGAAATGTCCCTGAACCATAGCCAAATCATCCGGCAGTTGAGTCACTGAAAATCGAACACTTCATCGATCCCTGTCGAGATCAAGGACAACCAACGCGCATCAGTCAATCGTATGCCATAGACTAGCCAATTTAATGATGGTCTCACTATCTTCTCTGTATTCATTCTTATTCATATATTTCCGTAATAACGTCCCTTATGTTACACGGTAATCAAAGCAGCACAGTACCTTCATACGACGAAGGGGTAATCAATGTTAGGTGCTGACTGTGAGGTGTGACTTCAATGTTAACTGTTGATCACACCATTCCCATTTTACTCGAGTAGGCCCCCGAAAATTGGACATAGATTATCTACACACGTATTGTGTAGTGATGTGAATCATCATAGTTATTTAATTGCATCGCCACACTCTTGTTAGAATTTCCTTCTGGTGACTGTCCGTCTATCCATACCACCAATGAGTTGAGATCATCCTGTAATATTATTTTATCACAAAGATCCTACCGTGACCACCTCAGTCCAACTAATATCAGGTGTAATAAAGTCTACTAATATCAAGCATCTGTTACTTGCACTCCATAGCTGAATGTGCTCTAAAATAAATAGTGATGGAAAGCACAATGGTTATCGCTTAACATGTGCTCAATAAAAGACAATGTACGGACGAAATATTTTTCCTTAGAATTTTGCGGTTGAAATGGTGATTCTTTTGATTTGGGCTGAAAGAGTTTGTTGAAGATAAGTTTCCACGTGTCGTAGTAATGCCATCCTTGATATTTTCTTACTAGAGAGAAATTTTCAGCCTGTGAAGCCAATCTTCCATAGTTTTCGCCTCCGAGCAAGAGCAACCTTTACTAAACATTTCATATCTTAAAAGAGTTGACACTGTTTTAATAAAATAAAAAGCAACAGTATGGTGTTGAAAAAATCCCCAGAATATATAGTCTTCGATATTGATGCTGACCTCATTACTTTTAAGAGACACATTGTAGCCGAAGGCGACAACCATTTATATGCCGCATTACACACTACAAACAACCCGCGAGCTTAGATCACATATCGAGTAACTGCCAAATATGTCTATAAACACCTTAACTCCTGACTTCGGATTTGACAGGGTTTTGAGCCCTTAGTCATGAAGTTAAAATGGACAGATGTTTTGCCAAACACCAATATCTGTGACATCTTTGACAGTATCGTGCCTCATAACAAGGCTCAGCAAAGGTTGTGTACTTAGCTTAGCCTGATGATTTTCCATAGACAGAATAAGCTCGTCTATCTACCGGTTCTTCTGACTTAAAATGCACTAAGTTAGTCAAACTCTTTGATACAACAGTAAACTCTAGTTACTAAAATTAGAAGAGAACCCGAAGGTCTACCTCGACAATGTGATTCATTATTCATGACTTTGAACTGCAGACCTTAGTTTGACATGTTCAGAGTTGGACACTAACTCCATTCAACAGGACATTTATGCAGTACTGTTTCCCCTTTATTGTACCTATTATTAATCTTTAATACACTTAATTTACTTTAGACGATTATGCAGATCTCTTGACAGCTCTGTATTATGAGATGCGCATATATCGTTAAAGGAAGATTAGATTAATGTAACACGCTCACAGAACCTTTTAAGTAATAACGTCTTTATTTCGTATAGAATACATGAGAAAGTGGTAAAAACAAATGATGCTCAGGCAAATTGTAATCCCACGACCTCTCGTTGAAGTTCCGAAATAATTTTCCACGTCGGGCTCAACAGTGTCGTGCCTCTAGTTCACCCTTGTGGTAATGATAGAAGAAACCATACAAGTAGTGAATAGGTCCTTTTTCAGATCTTCGCGCTGTCACAGTGGAGCGTGGGATTATTTGTTATGACAAACAAAGTCTCTCAACATTCAATATAAGATAATAGAAAATATAACGCCCATATAAAATAAGGAAGTGAATGAACACTTTACCTATATTGTTTTGACATATGCTTAGTTGTCTGTGGTGAACTCTTAACCAACCAACCTAAGCTGTTACAAGCTCTCTCTTGGAGTTATTGCTTCATAATGACTGAGTATATATATATATATATATATATATATATATATATATATATATATATATATATATATATATATATATATATATGCTTACGTCAAGTTCCAGCGCATTGTTGAATGCTAACATTTTCAGTTCTATTAACACAAAATCAAGTGAAACTTGAATTGTGACAATTGTTATTATCAGAATGAGGGTTTGTGTAGATTGTAGTAATTTTGGTAGCTGAATTCGTTAGCCGATATAAGCTAAACCACCACCCAACTATTAAAATTATTACGATCTTCATAAATCTATATTCTGATATTATCATTATTTGCTCACTAGTGACTGACTTTATCATGGATCTCCTGTAGTTCTAATGCGAAACTGTTACCAGTGGGTCCCAATTCGTGTCGAATAAAGGCAGGTATCTATCTCAGACAATGGATGAATGATTCTGCAAGATCATGATTCGAATGAAGTTAGACATAACCACTGTTGGATGCCGGTTGAGTGGGTTAAGCATTCGCGATCGAGACCGAAATTCCTGGGTTCGAGTCTCACATGCAAGGTCGTGGATGCTCACTGCTTAGGAGTCCCGTACTAGAGTGAAACAGCCGTCCGGGGTTCCCAGGTTTTCAATGGTGGTCTAAATATAATAGACGTATAAATTTAATCGTAAAACATATATTTAACCAACTATCAAGTATTTTACTGTTTTGTGTCAAGGTGAATATTGATCAAGTATCCGCATTCCTTTAACTGTAATTTATTTCACTCATTCTATTTTTAATATGTGTAACCTTATACATATGAGGCATTACATCGTCAACATCGTGAATACAACTACTAAAAAACAGTTATTATTGTTAAACAAAAGTCATTGATGAAACTACTTCTGAAATGTCTCCTGACTATCTCCTCATCAAAAGTTCTTACCGAAAATGAATATAAAATACTCAACGCCTGGGTCCCTAGGTTGATCTTTACGGCCTAACTGAAGTTTCCATTCTACATTCTGATACTAATTGTCACTTAAATGGTATGCTTTGACAAGTAGTGGTACTGGTTCTAACCATAATCCTTAAAGTTTAACATGAGATAACTGGGTAAATAGACTTTCAACATGCAATGTTAAGAAAAGTTAAAAATAGGGTACGTGGAAATATTCAATTCAGTTCAATCGGATGGCATGGCCTAGCCTAGCCGATATAAGCTAAACCACCACCCAACTATTAAAATTATTACGATCTTCATAAATCTATATTCTGATATTATCATTATTTGCTCACTAGTGACTGACTTTATCATGGATCTCCTGTAGTTCTAATGCGAAACTGTTACCAGTGGGTCCCAATTCGTGTCGAATAAAGGCAGGTATCTATCTCAGACAATGGATGAATGATTCTGCAAGATCATGATTCGAATGAAGTTAGACATAACCACTGTTGGATGCCGGTTGAGTGGGTTAAGCATTCGCGATCGAGGCCGAAATTCCTGGGTTCGAGTCTCACATGCAAGGTCGTGGATGCTCACTGCTTAGGAGTCCCGTACTAGAGTGAAACAGCCGTCCGGGGTTCCCAGGTTTTCAATGGTGGTCTAAATATAATAGACGTATAAATTTAATCGTAAAACATATATTTAACCAACTATCAAGTATTTTACTGTTTTGTGTCAAGGTGAATATTGATCAAGTATCCGCATTCCTTTAACTGTAATTTATTTCACTCATTCTATTTTTAATATGTGTAACCTTATACATATGAGGCATTACATCGTCAACATCGTGAATACAACTACTAAAAAACAGTTATTATTGTTAAACAAAAGTCATTGATGAAACTACTTCTGAAATGTCTCCTGACTATCTCCTCATCAAAAGTTCTTACCGAAAATGAATATAAAATACTCAACGCCTGGGTCCCTAGGTTGATCTTTACGGCCTAACTGAAGTTTCCATTCTACATTCTGATACTAATTGTCACTTAAATGGTATGCTTTGACAAGTAGTGGTACTGGTTCTAACCATAATCCTTAAAGTTTAACATGAGATAACTGGGTAAATAGACTTTCAACATGCAATGTTAAGAAAAGTTAAAAATAGGGTACGTGGAAATATTCAATTCAGTTCAATCGGATGGCATGGCCTAGCCTAGCCGATATAAGCTAAACCACCACCCAACTATTAAAATTATTACGATCTTCATAAATCTATATTCTGATATTATCATTATTTGC